GGGGGGGGGGGGGGCGGGCGGCAAGATCAGGAAGTGAGGGAGGCATCAGGAGCGGGGCAGGGGACAGAGAGGCAGCGTTACAGACTGAGGGAGAAAACCCCAGGAAGACGCAGGGGTGATGGGGCTCCCGGGCACAGATGGTGAAAGGAGATGACCGCTGGCTGAAGGGGGATGAGGGGCCAGAGGGACATAGAAGGCCATGAGAGGACCGGCAAAGGGCCACCAGGAGCCACGGTGACGGTGAGCATGGAGGGAAAGGGAGATGGAAGGGTTCTGGGGTCCCAGACGTCCCAAGTTGCCCTCTGATCCCATCTAGCATGTCAGCAAGAAAGGCCTGGGGGAACCTCGAGCCCCCCGCCAGAGCCGGCCAGTAGTTCCTGGAGCCTGGTTCCGGGCAAGGTGAAGGAGTGGATGGAGCCGCTGGTGACCAGGACAAGAGAGAGTTGGCAGTGGTTCTGGTGCGCGTATGCAGAACGGGGCTGGGGGCCTGAGTCTGAGGGAGGAGGGGCAGGGCCGGAACTCGTGGGTTCCCAGGGAGCAGGACAGGGCGGGGGCAGGGCTGTGACCCCTGGGTCCCAGAGGGGTAGAAAGAGGTGAGAGCAGGGACTCCTGGGTCAGAGGGAGGAAGAGGTCAACGGGGCAGAAGCCTCGGGGGGGTAGCTGGGGTCTCCACTGTGATGTCCACAGGGGCCCCAGGGCCTTCCAGGGCTTTGTGCAGACCTACTATGATGACCATCTGAGAGACCTGGGTTCCCACACCCAGGCCTGGCTCCAAAGCTCCAAGGACAGCCTCCTGAACAAGGCCTACAACCTGTGTCCCCAGCTGCTCTGCGGGGACAGCTACTGGGATTAAAGTGTTCACGGCCTCTGCAATAAAGAATTTCTTCTCTGTCCCTGTCCCAGTCCCTCCCGGATGCTGCCAGAGATAACCCCACCCCATCCGCCCCCCGAAGGTTAAGGAGTGGAGGAACTGACGACACGAAGTGACACACGTGGCAGGGGAGCGACCGTGGGGGTGGGGGGAGGAGTGGGGGGCCGGGGGGGGGGAATGACCCTGCTCCCCTAGTGCTGAGACCCACCACTGCAGGCTTGTGGACGGCGCGGAGGACTTCAGGCTTCTCAGTTTGGGGTGGAGGGTGAAGGCTGGAGACCAGGCAGGGTTAACAAGCGCCCCCAGCGGCCCCTCCTTCAGCGCTCTGCATTCACCTCCCACGGGATGGAGACCCCAGGCCTCGTGCCTGGCGGGCACCCAGAGCCCCCATCACCTCCACACTCCCCACCCAGCCTGTCTCTCTCAGCGGTGAATCTTCAGAGTGGAGGCTTCCTGTGGCTTGACCTCAGGGATGTCACTGCCCTCTCTGCCCACAGCCTCCCCCCTCCACCCACAAGCAGTTCTGTTGGCCAGGACTTTGGCCTAGGCGTTGAGGTCGGGGTGGTGGCTGTGAAGGGGTGGACCTCAAGAGCTATAAAGCCTTTCTCTGCCTGATTGGAGCTGGTGAGGACAGCCTGCCAGAGTCCGGTAAGAGAGGAACATGGCGGGTGGGGGACTGCAGGAGGTGTCCAAGATTGTTAAAGCAGAAATGGCAAGAGTCAAGATATTAGATTCCAGTGATAGAATCATGGAATTTAGAGTATTCCCTGCCAGTCCAGTGGTTAGGACTCAGTGCTTTCACTTCTGCGGCCGGGTTTCAATTCCTGGTCGGGGAACTAAGATCCTGCAAGAGCACAGGGCTGCCAAAAAAAGAAAAAAAATTTAAAATGTTACAATCAGCAATTGGGAGTAGCATCATAGAATGTTAGGAAGTGAGGCCCAAGTCAAAAGCCATTAGGGGTTTGACTCAGGTTGGGGGGAGGGGGAGAGGGGGTCCCAGGCTGGTATCCCTGAGCACGGGGGACCCTAGGATTAGACACCTCCTGTGGCCCTGTCCCACACCCTCCTCAGCATTCCAGGTCTCCTGACACCATGGGCACCCGATACTTCCTGGCTCTGTTTCTCATCCTCCTGGTGTTGGGATTCGGTGAGTGTGGCCAGTAGAAGAGGAGGGGCTATGAGGGGAGGGATGCCCCAAGCGTCTTCGCAGCCCAATTCCTGTCTGGCCCTGCCCCTGCCCATTCCTCCCCTTCCCCGCCTCATTCTCCTGCTGCTGCAGGCCCCTCAGCTCCCCTAACTCAATCTCCTCCTGCAGAGGTCCGGGGCGACCCTGTGCCCCAGCAAGAAGAGACTGCCAGCCCTGCCCTGCTCACCAAGGTGCAGGAATCACTCTTAGGTTACTGGGATCTAGCCAAGACAGCTGCCCAGAAGCTGTACAAGAAGACATACTTGCCCACCATGGATGAGAAAATCAGGTATCACCCACCTCCCACCCCGACCCCAGGAACAGGGACTCCCAGCCCCCAGCCCGTTCTCCCTCAGACTCAGGAGTCCAGGTTCAAACCTGGACCTGGTATCTCAAGGCCCAGGGATCTCAGCTCCCAGTCCCCAGTCCCAGTAGAACCCGGGGTTCTGAGATGCCAGCCCTGTCCTACTTAGGGATCCAGGAGTTTGGGTTCTAGCCACGTTTTCCCACAGGACACATGATTCTGGGCCCCAGCCCCTCCTCCCTCAGACCCAGGACTCCCAGCCCCCAGCCCCTCCTCCTCAGCCCTTCTGTCCTTTCTCCCCAGGGACATATACAGCAAAAGCACGGCAGCTATGACCACCTATGCAGGGATTTTTACTGACCAGGTCATTTCTCTGCTGAAGGGAGAACATTAACAGCTGGGCCCCCAATCTCAGGGGGAGTCCAGAACCCAGCAACCCCTTGGGTCCCCTGATCTATACCCCACCCCCACTTCCTAGCAACTCTCAGCATCTTGCTCCCAACTCTAGTCTGACTTCTTATCAATAAAAAAAAAAAAAAAAAGCAACAAGAGAAGCCATCGCAATGAGAAGCCTAGGCACCGCAACAAAGAGTAGCCCCCGCTCCCTGCAACTGGAGAAAGCCCACGCTTAGCAATGAAGACACAACGCAGCATAAAAAAAAAAAAAAAAAAAAAAGCCAAGTTTATTCTTTTGGATATGGTTGCTTTTCTGAGACCTCAAGGTCAAGATGGAGGATCTGATGCTGTCCAACCAACATTTATTTAGCGTCTATTCTATGTATATCGCCCTAACCTGGTCAATGGGAATAAAGAGGTGAATAATAATAATGAATAATCATAACAACAATAATTGGAGACTGCCTTTCACCAAGGTCTGGCTTTCTCTTCTTTTTTTTTTTTTGGCCACACCTCGTGGCGTGCAGGATCTTAGTTCCCTGACCGGGGTCGAACCCGTGCCCCCTGAAGTGGAAGCACGGAGTCTTAACCATTGGACCACCAGGGAACTCCCGGCTTTCTCATTTGTAAAATGATAAATGGATATAGCTAATCTGCAGTGGACTCTGGCCATGTCCGGGTCCTGGGCTGACACTTTGAATGTGCCATCACAGTGAAGTGTCCAGTGGCCCTGTGGCAGAGGGGAGAGCGGTGCCCATGAGTCATTGCTGAGCGTGGCAAGGCAGCGCCCAGGTTGGCTGAGACCCGAGAGGACAGAACTGTAAACGCTGTGCTCTGTGCCAGTTCCTATACATTTGTCCCACATGTATTTATTGAGACACAACCAGGTGCTGGAGACACACCTGCCCTCACGTGGCCCCCGCAAAAATGTACTGATTGGGTCCTGACCCAGTTTCACACGTTTTTTTGTTTGTTTTAATTTATTTTTGCCTGCGTTGGGTCTTCGTTGTGCATGAGCTTTCTCTAGTTGTGGTGAGCGGGGGCTACTCTTCACCGCGGAGCACGGGCTCTAGGTGTGCGGGCTTCAGTAGTTGTGGCTCGTGGGCTCTAGAGCGCAGGCTCAGCAGGTGTGGCGCACAGGCTTAGCTGCTCCGCAGCATGTGGGATCTTCCTGGACCAGGGCTTGAACCCGTGTCCCCTGCGTTGGCAGGCGGATTTCCAACCACTGCGTCACCAGGGAAGTCCGTCACATGGTTTTATTGATTACCGTTTTGTGGTATGCTTTTTAGCTGTTCTCTTCTTATTAGCAATAGTAATAACACTTCCTGAGCTCCTACTCAGGGCCAGGAGCTCTGGTCCATCCTGAGCCACACATAGAGAGGCTGAGGGGGTGGAAGGCAGAGGGTGAACAAGAGGACCCATGGATAAGATAACTTGAGGCAGCAACGCGGGCAATGAAGAAAAGGAGAGGAAGTGAGGAGTTCAAGGTCTGGGGGCAGCCACCTTGGGTTGGGGCATGGGGAGAGCCCTCTAGAGGACCCAGCTGGGCTGGTCACAGGGCACGCGTCACAATGCAGTGTGGTAAGGACTACTGTTGGTGGAAAGTAGGGGGAGGGGAGTACTCACTTGTCTCCCGGGTCTGAGCAGATGGAAGAGGGTATCTGGGCAGTGGGGGATTACAGGCCAAAAGCACAGGCTGTAAAATAAGAGCAGAGGCCCTGCAGTCTGAGAGAGGACAGTGCTGGGGCACATGGGTAGAGGGGCTAAGAGCCTGGACTCCTGTATCTGGAGGTAGTAGAGAGTGGTCCTGGGCCGCCAAATCCCATGGGCGAGGCTATTGGCCTCTGAGGATGCTGGGCCTCTATTCTCCTAACAGACTTGGCATTAACTTCCAGCCAGCCTTTTCAGTACTCTTGGGGCAGTTTTCCCAGGTCCTGGGGCTGGGCAGCTGTGAATCTAGCAGAAAACAGGGGCCTTGGGGAAGGGTTGTGAGAAATGCCCCCAAGTCCCCAGGGCCTGGGAAGAGCTGAGGCTGCCAAGCCCAATGGGTGATGGGGAGGGGGAAACCCTGGAGGAACAATCCCTGCTCTGTCCACTTGTTTCCCACAGACTCAAGCCAAACCAAACCACTGCCCAGGCCAGTTCTGCTTCCAACCAATCCTGGTGTACCTCCCAGACTCCGCCTTCCTTTCTCAGGCTCCCAACCCCAGTCCCACTCCCTTCAGGACCCCAGGAGTCCGGGCCCCAAGACTCCTCCTCCCCCAGAACTCAGGACCTCCAATCCATTCTCCTCAGGACCCAGAAGTTCAGGTCCCCAGCCCCCTTAGAACCTGAAATCCCAGCCTCTGGTTGGTGTTGGGCGTCCCCTAGTGGAGCGCAGTGTGGGTCTGGCTTGTGATTCACTTAACAGTTAGTAGGAATGGAAGAATTTACTCGGTCACTCAGCAGACATGGGGGAGGGCTTTACAAGGGCCCTGTCTGAGGTCACAGTCTAGCTAAGAGCCTCTAGTGTTCCAACAGATCAGGACTCTGCGGTATATGAGAGAGGACGTTAGGGGCCCTAGAGCTGAGAGCAGAGATGGGGTAACAATGAGACCGGAGAAGATGAGCTTCAAAGCCCCTCACCTGCCTGGGCTTTCTGTGGTTCTCTATTTATATGTGTACGTGTAATTTTGTACTTTTAAAAAAGAAGACCACAAAAATCTCAATCTGCCCATCTTCTGGGGGACTTCATCAGTATGTTCATTTCATCCCTAGACTTGAAGACTGGGTCTACAATGTCACAGAATCGTTATTACTATCATTGTTGTCTGTAAGAGAAGGGGACCGGGCAAGAGTTTTCTTTTTAAAAAAAAATTAATTAATTAACTAATTTGGCCGCGTTGGGTTTTCGTTGCTGTGCGAGGGCTTTCTTCATTGGGGTGCGCGGGCTTCTCACTGCGGTGGCTTCTCTTGCTGCAGAGCACCAGCTCTAGGTGCGCGGGCTTCAGGAGTTGGAGTTCGCGGGTTCTAGAGCACAGGCTCAGTAGCTGCGGCACGCGGGCTTAGTTGCTCCGTAGCACTTGGGATCTTCCTGGACCAGGGCTCGAACCTGTGTTCCCTGCATTGGTAGGCAGATTCTTAACCACTGTGCCACCAGGGTAGTCCCAAGAAGTTCTCCAAGGTTTCTTCTTGTCCTTGTGTTGGTTCACAGAGGTAATTCATTCATCTTCCCCACTCAAAGTTTCATCCTTTCACTCGGCAATCATGCCCTGGGACAGTGCTGGAGACACACCCATGTCTGTCAGTGATGACACAAAGTGGGCAGGGAGTGGGTGGGGAGTCCAGGGATCTAGGAGGACTGGGAGGCGGTGCCCCGCCCAGTCTGGGGGCTAGGGAGGAGGGATAATACTATTGAGCTGAGACCTCGAGGTAAGTGGAGGATTACCAGTAGACAGTAAAATGATAAATAAATAATTAAAATACCTCTATGCAAAGCCTGCTCTCCTTTTCAGATAATATGTAAAGTTCATAATAACAGTGCGTGATACTGATCACTTAGCCCCACACGGAGAACCCGGGCCAGGTGTTTTATATTCTTGATTTCACTGGGTCTTCCCAATAACGCGGCGGGGCAAAGGCGGAGAGGAATAGCGGGTGCTATTATAATGCCTAGCTTATAAAAGAGGAAGAAAATGAAGCCCAAAGAGATAGGTCACTTGTCCGGGATCATTCAGTCGGTCAGTAGCACAACCAGGGTCTGAACCCAGGTCAGACTTCCACCCAATTCACTGGTGAAGGTTTAAAAGCCGCTGAGTCTTCTGTCCTCTCTGGGCCTCCATAACTCCTTCTCCGGGCCAAGGGTCTTTCAACACGTGTCCAAGCCCGGAGCTGTAGGAAGATAGCTAATGAAAAAGTACGGAGTTCTTAGAGCCCTTGAAGCCGAGGCCATAGCCGCGAGGTTTACTAGAAAGCGGACCGCTAAGGGAAAGCGCATGCGCATTAAACTAGGCGGCCCGAAAGCTTAGGGAGGGGCTGACAAGGTCCGATTTGGAAGTGTGGTGGCGTGAGAACACTGAAGTAGTAACTAAATGCACAGAACTATAACCTAGGGAGACCTGTCGGAGGAAAGGGCTGTGTTACGAAGAGGGGTCTGAAAGCGAGGCCACCGACCAAAGATCCTGCCCTCCGAGTCTTGGGTGCGGAGGCCAGGAAGGTTCCTTTAACGCAGGAGGGGCGTGGTTCAAGTGGAGCGTCTCTAAGCGTTACGGTGGCCGGGAAAGCTCAAGAAACTTGGAACTTAAAGAATAGGCGGGGCAAAGTGGACAGGATGACCCAGGAGGCTCGTATAACTGGAAGAAGCGGGTTATTCGTGGGGGGCAGAAAGAACGGAGGCTGTGGGAAGCGTACATGTTGGCCAAGAAAGCCCTGGGAGTTCGGGGCATGCAGTGTGTCTACTACGCGAAAACAAATGGGCTGCGATGCGACGGAGAGTACGGTGGCCTGCTTGGTCTTTTCATAGACTTTAGCAGCTGCTGAGAGGCGTGGCTGAGGCGCTCTTGCGGGTTACGGTGGCCGGCCGGTCGGGCAAAGCGTGAAATCTCGCGCGATCGCGCTGGAGCCGTCGGGGACGGGGCGGGGCTGGCGGCGGGGGCGGGGACCCGGAGCGGGAAGATGGCGGCCGCGCAGGAGGCGGACGGGGCTGGCAGCGCCGTAGTGGCGGCCGGGGGAGGCAGCTCCGGTCAGGTACGGAGGCCGAGAGGGGCCTGAGGGGCTCTTCCCCAGCCGGGGGGCCTCCCACGGGGCGTGTCCTGCCTCTTTTCACAGAATCCTGTGCACTGGGGGCTCCTTGCCCATAGGGACCTTGAATACCGGGCCCAGGTGGGGCCGGGCAGCCCGGGAGGCTGGACAGTGCAGGGAGCGGGGCCCTGTTGCGCGCCGGGTCCCCTGCATGCTCGCGCCGGGCGGCCACCAGGCTCGTTGCTCGAGCTGAGGACACAGTGGCGCGGAGGGGCGCAGACTTGTACCCAAGCGCCCTGGGTTCTGGACTCCGTGATTCCAGGCTGCAGGACAGTTCCTAGAATGGGCTGACGTTCACGGGGTGCTCTAGGTGTGGGCAATGATTGACTGATTGGGAGTTTTCTAACTCTGGGGAAGTCTGGTAATCATCGTGGATAAGGGCACGCGCTGTGGAGGCTGACAGACCCATTTTATAGTCAGGAATCCAAGGAACAGACAGAGGCGCCTACAGAAGGTCACCCAGGTTAGATCTGGGATCCATTCCCTGTAGAACTTACCAGCCATTGCTGAAGCAAGGTGGTCGGGACTGAGATGGGTTTATTTTCAGCATAAACTAGTCCTATGCCGGAATTCGTCCTGGTACTGATGACTTCCGGCCCATTGCCACTTGAACTAAACTGAGGCTGCAGAACGTACTAGTTCAGGCAGCCACCCTTCAGACGTTTAGGGAATCGATGGAGTGACAGGGAGGTGCTGTCGACCCACCCACTGGGATGTCACTGACACGTGGGAGGCAGCACAGGGCAGAAGAGTGCAGGTTGGGAGGGGAAAACGAAGCTGAAGCTGACACTCTGTGACCTTGGAAAGTTCCTTTCCCCCTTCATTTCTCCAGTGGTAAATGGTGGGATTGGACAGGAGGGCCAGCCCTGTGATGGGCCACGAAGATGGCTCCAGCCTTGTCCCTTCATCAGTGGAGTGAGAGAGAAGACTGGTGTGTAAGCAAAGAATTATAATCCTGGATGACAAGGATGGTGAGAAAAAGTCTGTGTCAGAAACTGAGGGAGCCCAGAGGAGGAGCAAATAATATCACCTGGGGAGGACACTAGGGTGAGATTTGTGTGACCGAGCCAGCATCCCTGGTCTGGATCTTTTCAGCATCTTCAACCAGGGCCTGGCCCTGGGGGCAACCCTAGGAAATGTTTGTCTCTATCTTGAGGGGCTTCCCAGTCTCGCTGAAAGAAGGTCTTTTCCCCCTCTGCGTTTCTGTTGATTATTGGGTGGGGGGTGATCAGAGAGACTAGGGCTCAGGGTGCCCTGATTGCTCTGAGCTTCCAGAGGACCCCTCCCCCCCAAGATCTCCTCTTGTCCCACTTCTGCTTAAAATCTTTCAAGACTTATTCCTTTGCTTTCAGGATTAAGTACAAATTCTTTGGTAGATCAAGGCTTTGCATGATCTGCCCTTTTTCCTCAGACTGGGCTAGGATTTCTCAACCTCAGCACTATTGACATTTGGGGTTGGATAATTCTTCGTGGTAGGGGGCCGTCTTGTGCATTGTAGGATGTTTAGCAGCATCCCTGGCCATGCTAGATATCAGTACCACACACATCTCCTTCCCCAGTCGTGGCAACTAAAAATGTCTCCAGATGTTGCTAAATGTCCCCTGGGGGGCAGAATTGTCCCTGCTTGAGTCACTGGACAAGAGGAGCGTCAGCCACTGTGAAGCTCTTTTATTTCCAGGAGTGTGCCTCACGCTCTCTCTCCACCTCGTAGCCTTTGCACGTTTCTCTTTACCTGCCTGATCCTTATTAGTCCTGTGCATCTCAGGTGTTCTCTCCCCTAGGAAGCCTCTCTGACCCTCTCAGACTGGGTCAGGGCTCCAACAGTCCCTGGGCTCCTCTGTCCCAGCCCTGCCCACTCTTCGGTTGTCACTGTCTGTCTCCTCCAGTGGACTGGGAGCCCCTGGAGGGCAGAGCAGGAACTGTCTTGGTCACCACTGTGTGCCCAGCGCTTCCCAGCTCAGGACCAGGCGCAGAGCAAGCCCTCAGCGTTAGTGGAATGAATGGGTCTTGAGGCAGAGGCTGGGCTGAGGTGGAATTCCCATGGTGGGTCCAGGCAGTCAGGGCAGATGCCCTGACTTCCTCGCAGCCGCGGCCCAGGCTCATGGCCCCAGCTGCTTCCTGGGCCCCTAGTGGGTGTTGGGGGATTGTGTGTGAGCGTGGGCTCACGGGCGCAAGCGCAGGAGCTACTTAGTCGCTGCAGCGTCCGCAGCCACCGCGGCCCTCTCCTGGCCCACGCGCAGACCCTCAGCAATCTCCCGCCCTGGCCAGCCTGCTCCTCCTTCAGGCAGGGACTCGGACACCAGGCCCACAGCTCTGGTAATCATTGCTTCAGCTAACGTGGGTTGAGTCCCCACTGCATGCTAGTCCCCATGCTGATGCTGGCACACGGCTATGAACAAAACAGAGGCCCTGCCCTCTTGGAGCCCATGTATTTGTTGAGGGCTGGGAGTGGGGTGTGGGGTGGGGTTGGGGACAGGGACAGCGAACGAGGTAAATAAGAGAAATATACAGCGTTCGGATGGTGCTAAGTGCCATGGGCAGAACTAAAGGTGGGGAGGAGCATAGGAAGAGAGGGGTGGGTAGGAGGTTGCCATTTAAATACAGTGGTCTGGGAAGGGCTTTCTGAGGAGGTGACATTTGAACAAAGACCTAAAGGAGATGAGGGAGGGAGTCACACATATGGTGGGGGAAAGCCTTTCAGGTAAAGAGAACAGCCAGTGCAAAGGCCCTGAGGTGGAACAGGTGTGATGAGGGAGCAGCAGGGAGGCTGATGTGGCTGGAACTGGTGACTGAGGGGAGATGGGTGAGAGCAGATGGGCGCAGAGGATCATGCCAGGCCTCAGAGGCCATGGTGACAACTTTGCCTGTACTCTGAGGGAAGTGGAGCCACAGGAGAGTTACCTTTTTATTGAAGTGTAATTTAGATACCGTAACATTCACCTGTTGTCAGTGTAGAGTTCAGTGGCTTTCAGTACATTTATGCAGTTGTGCAGTACAGTCACCACCACGGTGTGGTCTGAGAACACTCCCATCCCTGCAAAACACTCCCTTGTTCCCTTTTGCACTTTTCTCTGCCCCCAGCAGTGTCCCTTTTTATTGCTCAGTAGTATTCCATCGCGCAGATCCATCACTGGTCATTCATCGAAAGACTTTTGGGTGGTTTCTGGCTTTACAAGTAACACTGCTGTGAACATTTGCATATAAGCTTTCGTGTGGACGCAGAGTTCTCGTTTCTCGGAGGCAGAGACCTCGGAGTGGGACTGCTGGTTCGGATGGCAGGGGCACATTTAGCTTTTTAAGTAGCTGCGTATTTTTCAAAGCGGCAGCTCCATTTCTCCCACCAGCAGTGTACAGCTCTTTCAGTTTGTCCACATCCTCGCCAGCACTTGTGATTGTCCGTCTTTTTGATTACGGGCATCCTAGTGAAGTGGCACCTTTGCATTTGGCTTTCCTTTGCATTTCCCTGGGAGGGTTTCCAGCCAGCTTGTCCACCATTGCAGGTAAGAGAACAGACCTGGGAGCCAGCCAGACGTGGGTTCAAATGCTCGCCCGGCCTCAAGCTTCCTTTTCTTGATCCAGAATCAGCTCAGACCTGCTACAAACCCTTGCTTCGCACCCCCCGCCCCAACAAGTGCTCCCAGGAGCGAGGCCAGCCCTGAACAAGGGGGCCCTGTGCCTGTTCGACCTCGCCCGCCCCTCAGCCAAACCTTTGCCCACACCTCTTCTCTCCCTTAGACACCCTTCACCCAAATGTCAAAGACAGCTCCTCGGGAGGCTTCCCTAACCACCCGGTCACCCCCTCTGCTTGTTTCCCCTGGAACACTTTCCTGTTTACCTTTGTTAATTATCCTGTTTACTGTTCTGCCGGCACCTTTCCCTCTAGACCCTGAGCTCTGGGAAGGCAGAGACCCCAGAGCTACCGCTGACCCTGCTGCCCAGCACGGGCCTGGCGCACAGTAGGTTCTTGGGAGTTACTTTTATCGACACACAGAGGAAATCTGTTCTACCCTAAACGTACTGGTATGATCACAGCCTGGCCCTTGGGTCAGAGAGCTGAAGAGCCAGAGAGGGAAGTGACACACCCAAGCCCTCACAGCCAGGGACCACGGGACCGGTCCACAGCCCAGGTCTGTCAGACCCCAGAGCCCCACCTTTTACCACAGTGCTCTTCTGCACTTGGGAGATGAAAGGGAAGAGCTCTTGCTGGTGAAGGGGACAGGAAGTGACAAGTGACGGCTTTAACAAATGCTGGCCTCAGCTGCGTGGCAGCCTCATCTGGCTTTGGGAGCCTCTGTCCCTACTCTCGGGGGCGTTTGAAGCCGACAGAAGACGTAGTAGAGGAGCGGGCTTGGGGCAGGAGTCGGGGGACTGGGGAGGCCCAGGAATGGGTGGATTGGTGGCCTGAGTGTTCAGGGCAAGCCCTTCAGGGAGCATTTGTTGATTCCCCGGGTGTTTATTGAGCCCCTGCTCTCTGCCGGCCCTGGGCTGGGCAATGCTCCCACCTAACAGCCATCATGACAGTCCTGGTCCTGTCTCTTTTTTTTTTTTTTT